GGTGTCGAGGGGCCTTTTATCCATCTTGGAACCATCGTTTGGGTCGGAAAAGACTCTTAAGATCGTTGAATCCACCCGTGAACCTGGCGCTGCTGGGGCCATGTCCCCGCGTGCCTCGCTGTCTTGTCTCGTGGCGAGGCGCCTGAATCTGAACGCACGGATTCGAGGCTTCGCCTGAAGCCTGAACGACGATTTTTGTGTTTGCTGCTTTAGATTATTCAGTATATCGGGGAAATCTGCAGGTATCTCCTGAACCAGCCCGTCCGAGAGGCGGAAGCGCGGCACTGCGTGCGGCTGGCGGGGGGCAACGGCCTGCGACCCACCATCTGGGAGGATTTCACCAAGCGTTTCCGCATTAAGCAGATCGGGGAGTTCTACGGAGCCACAGAGTGCAACTGCAGCATCGCCAACCTGGATGGCAAGGTGAGGAGGAGGAGGAAGAGGGGGCTGCAGAGGGCAGAGGAGCTTCTCTGCCTCCTCCTGAGGGCCGGTGGGGGGATAAATTCCTAACGAGGGGCGGCAGACACCAATAAAACAAGGAAAATCTAGCATTTGTGGGTGACCTGCACAGTGGAAAGGGAGTTCCTGAGGAAAACTCAAACCGTTCTCTTTAGCCTTTTCTATTTTTTTTTCTTTATTTCTCCCTTTTGCCAGGTCGGCGCCTGCGGCTTCAACAGCCGGATTTTACCCAACGTTTATCCCATTCGTTTGGTGAAGGTGAATGAGGACACGATGGAGCTGATCCGCGATTCTGGCGGGCTCTGCATCCCCTGCCGCCCTGGTGAGAGTCACCCTGCTCTGGTGAATCCATCGTTCCGCGAAAAAAAAAAAAGAAAAATTATCTATATGAAGCTTGTGTCGAACCCTCAGGGGAGCCGGGGCTGCTGGTGGGGCAGATCAACCAGCGGGACCCCCTGCGCCTACGTCAGCGAGAGCGCCACCAGCAAGAAGATCGCTCGCAACGTGCTGCGCAAGGGCGACGAGGCTTACCTGTCAGGTAAAAAAAATAAAGAAATGCACAAACCCCCGCGAGACGGGGCAGAGCGGGTCGTGAGAGACCAACACCCGTCGTGTCCAGAGGAATCGGTGCTGGTGGAGGTCTCTGAGGGGTGCGTTAGCGTTTCGGAGTTGCCACCTGTTGGGGTTGTTCAGGATTTGAGAC